TGGTCCAACGCGTTTAATTTGCGACTTTTGCATCCGTGAACAATAATATGGAAAACTTTCGTTTCACACGTGAAATCACAATCCTCCATTCTCCGGGAGGAAACAAGTGAATTTCGAACCTCGTCTATGGAAATTCAAATTTCAAATGGTAATTCGCGCGTTCCTCTCGGCGCGCATGGCATGAATGAAATTGGCGCTCACACGCGTGTGAAATTGATAATCGCCAGTTTGCGTTATGAAGTGTTTGAAATAATTTTGTAATTGAAGATGGATTTAATTTCATTCACTTTGAATATTTATGAATATTGTCAATTGTTGCTTCTCCAAAGAAACAAAATCTGGGATTTCAAAATAGAGAAGATATTATAACAATTTTTCATTTCCTTATACTGTACATTATTAGATGCTACATTATTTACGTATTATGTTTATTACATTTATTACGTACAAAGTGAGGTTATGTTTGAAATAATTAAAAAATACACGTTTCAAATTATTAATTTAGAATAAATAAGTGAATAATCCTTTTTTTAATTTTCGAAAAATTATCTCACATCTATCTCTTTCTCGATTATATCTCGTTCCATCCCAATAATTTCGTTTAACGAATTATCAAGATACATCACACAAATGTCGATAAAGTTTTATTGCGGCACTATTTATAGAATCCGATTCCAGGTTTGATAAGTGTCTCGTCACTATTGACTGACAATGAAGCGAAAGCTCTTGGAAACAGCTTTTCTTTCACCTAACCTCTATTTTGAATTCACGAATGCAAACGAGATGCTCGCTCGTTTACCGACAATTTGAGTCGGTCGTTATCGACAGAGGATGGAGGTATTCGTCAATCGCTCTACGACACACCGATATCTCGTCAAAACGAACAGTTAGCGACAAAGAGATGAATAGATGGATGGAGAGATGCTTTGCACGATTCGGTACGATTTGGCCAATTGCTATTGATAGTTTCATTTGTACATATTGTCGATCGTGCTAAATCATTATTTTAATATATTTACACTTTCATCTATATATTTCCATTTACAAGATATGTTTCAAAATATTGAATAAATAAATATACACAATTTATTTTATTTGTTTCGATAATCGTGAATACTAAATTTCTTCTTTTTTGTTTAAGGATAATTACTTTTTTGATTCTTATGTCGTTATTATTAATTAAAAATTTATTTATTTTTGTTTTTTGAAGAAAGAGATAATAGAGCTATTTTCATTTTTTGATCAATTATTTATATCATAATAAAAATTTTCACTTTGAAAAGATTTCTCTTTCTTGATCGATATATCAAACGTATTATAAAGATATATAATTCGAATTTTATTAACGTAAATACAAGATAATTTTCGAAGAATAAATTATAGAATTTACGTATCTAAATTAAAGATTCAAATGAGAAATTCTAAATTCTTTCAATGTAGTCGTCAATAGAGAGGAGTAAAATATTTCAATTTTCGATTTTCGACGATTAATCTTTCAGAATTAGTCATCTGGAAGAAGTCTTTGAGCATTTGTCAATTAAGGCATTCGTTCGAAATCAATCACACAAAGTATTTAGGACAACAATTTCCCGATAACAATTCTATCGAAAATAGTCGTTTGAAATAGCCTCTCGAGAATTCGCTATTTGAACATAAGCTTTTCAAATCAGTCAGAAAGAATTTAAAATAATAATTTATATATCGTTCGAAGCAAAATTATTAATTTTTTTTAATCATTTTTCTAATTTATTAATTAAATTTTATATTAAATTAATAATATTTAATTAAATGATAGATAAGTTTGTCAAAATAATATATAATATTAAAAGATGGAGATCTTATTGAAATTTTCTCACATTTCAAATTGTTAGAAAAAATTTCTATTATAATATTTGTTTATTCAATATTTAATAAGATTTATAAAATAAAATCATTAGAACTTTAATTAAAGTCACGAATCATTAATATTCCTGTAATTTGATTATGAATTTAAACTTCGAAAGTATAACAATTGTTGAAAGTGTAAATTCAGTATTTGTTATGGTGATTCAACATTGATTTTTTTTTAGTTTTCAAGAGTTATGATAAATAAGAAACATGTATAAGATTGTATGTTATTGAACGAAATATCATAATTTGAGGTAAAAATTTAAAAAGTGTAATTACAAAATTACTTACCATATTTAATCTTTCCTGTAATTTATATAATTGTTAAAATTCATATTATAATTAATCGTTTGATATTAATGTAAAATATATTCTTGATGTTTTCGTTTTTATTATTCATCTTGTGTTAATATATTATTATTATTATGAGTTTTTACATTTACATCATAAAACATATTATAATGTAATCGTTCTACCTTTATAATTCATAGCACCTTGTAAATAATATAAAGAACATTATAAGTTTTCAAAAATATAAAAAGAATTTATAAAAACAGGTGTGAAAGCAGTCTTTATAAAGTTAAATTTCCAGTTTTCACCCATATTTATATTTTCTCAAAAAAAAAAAGAAAGAAAAAAAAGAGAAAACAAAGAGTTATCAAAAAGTTACTTGGAAAATTCAAAAAACTACAAAAATTTAGTACAAAGAACGAACAAAACCTTCGAAACAAAATTTGTTGCATTACTGTCGATAAAATTCACCTCTTTTATCTTAAAAAGGAAAGGTTGTTCAATAAATGACAAGCATACGATCAGAGCAAATTATATATATTTTTTAATAATTAAGAAACAGAGTACTATTTAGATAATGAACAATATCGAGAAACAGCCACTTAGTGGCGAAGAATTAATTATATAAAAATAAGACAGGAAGTATCGCAGTAAGCGTTACGCGAAACGGAAATGACAGATGATTTTTCTTTTTTTTTTTTCTTTTTTTTTTTCGTGTCGTTTCTACTGAATTATTTTAAGTATGTATGCGTGAACAAATGATTTTGCATTGCGACATTGGCGGTCACACAGTAAAGTTTTCTGCAACGCATTTATCGTTTAATCTTCGGTGTACTCGAATGGCTCTGGTGGTTCCGCTTCTTGCTCTTCTTCCGGATGAGGACCGTAAGCTGGAACAGAATGATAATCGAGAGTCTATGTGAAGATAATTTCTTATGAAAAGAAGAGGAGTTTAGCAAAGTGCGACAGATATTGAATAATTGAGTTTGCGTAATGGTTTTTCGAGTTGAAATCGTCTTAAGTGGAATGTGGATGAAGGAAAGAAATTGTAGTTTTAATCGTAGATTTATAGTAAGCGGGATAAATGATTTTTTATCGATAATGTGAAAAAGAAAAGAATTTTCACACCAAGTATTGTAACGAATTGTTAAAAGAATCGAATAAAACGATATTTTTATTGTTTTTTATTGAGTATTTTCTCGTTGTAAATTTATGTATTATAAAAATATATTATATCTTTTGATAATTCGGTTTATTTAAAGAATTAATTAATAATTAATAAAGAATAATGTGTATAATCATTGAATTAAAAAGAAAAACATGATTAATTCAAAGATATAATTATTTTAATTGCTAGTTTGACTAATTCAATTTTAAAATTAAAATTTTCTCGAAAACTATTGCAAAAATTCTAAAAAACTATTGCAAATATTATTATTACAAAAATAACATTGTAAAAGGCATTTTGAGTTGCATTGATGTGCATAAATACACATATAACTGTCTTTGCATCAAAGATGTATTAAATTAAATTACTAAATCCTTATTATTACACAAGGTTGCATCAGAAAAATTCTATCATAAAATAGAAATTCTTCATAGAAATAAAAGAAAAATAATATCGACTTACCGGCTACTGGTTCCACCAATTCCTCTTCAGTATCCGATTGGATGTGCTTCACCATCACGATACCTCCGATCTGAATATCCTTGACGGGCACATAATGGCTTCCTTCCACCAACTGTATCACCTTCAGTTGCTGTCTCAGCACACGAGCAGGATTCTGAAGGATCTCGAAATTGGGCTCAGCCTCCTTCTTCTCCTTCTCGGTCGTTTTCTCGCCCTCCTCCTTGCTCTTCTTCTCGACCTTCTCCTTCGTTTCTTTCACCTCTTTAGTTTCCTTCTCTTTCTTCTTCTCCTCTTTCTCCTTGGCCGCCGCCTCGACCGGCTCCTTCACCGTTTCCGGCGGATCCTGCGATTAAAAATTAAACATGACGGAAAGGAAAAATCTCTAATCTGAACGGAAACATCGTTTATCTTTAGCCTCGCCGTCAATCAATGTAACAGGGAATGATCTTTTCGTTGGGAGAACGAATGATAAGAGCTTGAAAGATAAACAGTTGATGATTATCTTGTAAGAAGATTGAAAAATTGAGATGCGAAGAAGAAAAATACGCGAAGAATTGTTGAGAAATCATTTATGATCGTATAAGAATGATTATACGTAATACAAAATGTAATTTATTATATAAATAAGATCGAGGGGATTCTATGGTACCCAAAGAATTCCAAGGGTATTCTAAATATCTAAATATAAATTACCAATAAAATTATAAAATTCGTGATATTTTTTAGACTTAACAATAGTCAATTTAGTATTAATCCTTAATGAAAACAAAATAAAATAATAATAATTCTTTTCTTTTTTTCTTACAGAATGAAATTCTTTTCTACCCAAATAAAAAATAAGAATATCTATTATAAATTATAAAGTAATGAAAATATATAATATGATATATTAGTTAAGAGAAAAATGATAAAAGAATTTTCCAAAGATTTGAAAATAACGATTGAGATACGAACCACATCCATCTTCTCGTGAGAATCACGTGCACGCCTCTCAGATTCGCGTCTGCGCGCCCTGGCGGCGATACTGAGAACCGCAGTGGTGATTTTCTCCCTTTCCTCGCGTTTCTTCTCCTCCAAGGGTGCAGGATAGGCATAGACACTTGGTCTGGCGTTTGAGCGGAATTCTAGCTTTGGCATTTTTAGTTGAGCGTTCAGAGCGATCAGACAAGTTGGGGTGAAGGCCAATGCCAAGCAATGGGCCAATGGGAACCAATACCAATACTGAGTGAATACTAATGCACCGACTACTGCGAGCATATTTGTGTGGCCTGTCCTCGATTGCAGTGACACTGTCACGTTACGACCACCTGGAATAATCATTTAAAACGTAAAATGTTTATTATTATTGTAAAATGTAAAATATTTTTGAGATATCCTTTCTATCTTGAGGGTATCGACGAACGAATAATTTACTTTAAATAATTTTTAAATTCCTGATTTCTTTGTTTATAAAATTATAATTATCCATATTCGATTTAATTATTTATCATTCCAATAATTATTATTCTATTTCAATTAGGTGACTGTTAATTTAAAAATGATATTATTGTATTGGATCCATATTTTTGTCTCGTATAATAAGTATAAAAATTTCTTCATCTTCAATTTCGATATTCCAATCGAATAACATTCCTTTAAAAAAATACTGTTGAAAACCGTAATATTACGTAATAAAAATATCACGGTGACGGAATATTCGTAATTTGTCCTAGAATATCCATAAAAAAAAAATTCGTAGACTATTACAAATAAAACAAATCCGCAATCCGTTTACCATCGGAACACGTCGAATCCATCGATCGTAACGAAAGGAGCTCGTCAACTTCCTCGTCAATTCTTTGAACAATACTCCAATAACACCATCACGACCAACATTCAACGGAGGATTCTTCGATTTCGCTATTTTCTGTCGACAACTGCCTCGAAATAAGAAATTCTTTGATCGACGATCTGTATCATATTCCAGCCAAGAGGCTTATCGAGCATCGAAAACAACCGTTTAACGTCCTAAAAATCGTCGAGTACTCACCGGCATCGATGATCCCTTGCGCCAAAATGGCGCCAAATTTCGCCATTACATCCTCGTGCTTGTCCACCACGACCTTCGCGTATAATGCCCTGAAATCTTTGACACGAGGACAGGTAGCCTCCGTTTGTTGAATCAGAATCATTGCAGAGGCGATCAGAGCACCTTGGCGGACGAAATTCACCGAATCGTTCGTCATTGGGTCTAATAGGGCTATGGCTTCCTTCAGGCCGGTGCCAGCACAAGCGATTCCTAAAGCCATCGCTGCTCCGTATCTTACGTGAGGATTGTAGCTCTCTGCCAACAGTGAGACCACGCTGGGACACTGTTCTGGTGTTCTGCAACGAATAAGAAGTTTTTCGATTGAATATTTTCGTTATTATTTTTTTTAGAAAGCAAAAGATATTGGATAATTGCGATTCAGTTCATTGAAATTTTATTATATTTTATTTTTAATAACATTTATGTCTATATAATTTTATGGACTTATTTGGAGTTATTTTTATATTATTATGTTACACTCCTTGGATTCATTTTGATATCATTTCAGCAAAGATATCATATTTAAATTTAACATCATCATATTCCTTCCAAAATCGAATTTTCGTTTGTAATTAATAATAATAAATTTAATAATATTATATTATTATATAATAATATAATATAATATATAATAATATATTAAATAATAATAATAATAATAATATAATATAATAATATATAATTATATAATAATAACATATTTAATATATAAATTTTAATAATATGTTAATATTCATAAATAATCTATAAATATATCGTATATAAAAAAAAATATAGTTACAATGCTCATACATTGCAATCGTCCAGCGTATTTTTTTTTTTTAGCTATATGATAAATTAAAATGACTAATTGTGCAATTAAATAATCGAAAAATGGGTCAACACGGCGATATATTTCTCCTCATTATTGTATTTAGGTAGATAAATAAAGTATTAAGCGAGATAATCCGCGATACAATACAATTTATACGATGTTATGAACGACGTAATTCGTTTTATTTACTAAGACGAGAGTCGATGTTCGCCGTGCCCTCGACATTCAGTCTTGTAAGATACGTTGACCGTGGCAGCTCAAGCGATACAATTGTGGAATATTTCGTCTATAATTGGAAAACGAGTACAAAATATTTCATTTTTAACAATATTTATATATAATTAAGTAAGAATAATTTTAATAAAATACATATATTAGTATTTTTTGATTTCTTTTTCGTTATTTCGATTTTATTTTTATAATATATATGAAATTATGGAATTTTAGGATTTTTTGAGATTGTTTTAATCTTTTATTTTATATTTTTGTAGGAAAAACTTCGAAGAATACATTTATCGATATAAATTTCAATCAATATTATATAATTTTAATTTTTTTTAAATGCAAAACGATTTGTTATTATTCTTAATTATTTCTTTTGAATCAAAAGAAAAAATTAAATGTCTTATTAATTTCTTTTTTTACTAAAATTTTATATTTATTTTTCCTTGCGGTTATTATCTTTCCATATTTTGCATTTAAATTAAAAAAAAAAAAAATACTTAAAGAAAATTTTCTCGCAAAAATTTCCAAGTATAATTAAGTAAGAATAATTTTAATAAAATACATAGTACTTTTTGATTTCTTTTTCGTTATTTCGATTTTATTTTATAATATATATTCAGAAATAATATCTACTTAGAAAAAAAAATTAAAAATTAAAGCAATATGTATTCATTTCGATTCTTTCTAAATAAAAATAAAGAAAAACTTCTCTATTACAATAGAACCCCTTCCATCGGATTTTATTATCCAAAAATAAAATATCAATCCTTAATAACATCACGAAAATTCAATTTTTCCCGTATGGAAGATCAAAGCACGAATATATAATCACACTAAGTGCATAATTCCGTGTTCCAGGAGGACGACTCGGTGCTGGTGGACGGTGCCTGTCAAATACCGGATCCTCTGTACAAGTTGATCGGCAGCATAATCTGCTTTTACATACCGTTGGGCGTGATGCTGCTTACGTACGCGTTGACAGTGAGATTGCTGGCGAAACAGCAACAGAATATAGGAGGAACTACTGGTTGGTCCTCTGGATGGCTGGGTGGCCCGCAGGGCCCATCTTCGGGAGGTTAGTGTATTATCAGGTACACTGATGCAATCCTCCAAAGGCATATCGATCCATTCGCATCGCGTCTGTCTCTGCTTTATCTCTTTGATTCGTATGATGTAGGCTCTGCTCCGTTATTCCTTTTCCATTCTATTTTTCTTCTGTCTCGTTTCGATAATTTTATTTCAAGAACCCATCTTGGAGAGGTTAGTGTATTATCAGATACAATCCTCCAAAGGCATTTCGTTATCGATGCATTCGTATCATGTCTCTGTTTCATCTCTTTGATTCGTATAAAATAAACTTTGGTGTGATTTCTTTTTTATTTTCTTTTTTTTTTTTTTTTGTGTGTGTCTCATATAATTTTATTTTAAGAATCCATTTTCGAGAGGTTGATATATCGTGACTGATACAATCCATTTTGTATGCTTTTTTCTTTATCTCTTATATCTCTTTGATTTATATAATATATGATTTTATTTTCGTGTCTCGCGATGTATTTATGTTTGCGTTAAAAGAAAAAATTTTTATTAACGAAGAAGAAAAATATTTTGGGTTTTTTTATTCATTAGTGATGGCTTTCGAAGAGAATTTTTTTAAAATGGAAATTATAATGAATTTGGAGGAAGAAAAATTGATCTTCGTGCTTCGTTTTTAAATAACTTTTAAGGGAATGTGAAAACTGTTGATTTTTTACATATATTATTTATCAAAGCTTGGGAATTAGGACTTCATATAAGTTCCAAGCTCTAGTAAATAATAAAAAAAGTAGATTTATTTATTTATTTTTTTAAATTATTCAAAAAAAAGATTGTGCCAATAAATTTTTAGGATATCTTAAGATAGACGTTAGATATCTTAAGATAGATATTTTAGAAGTATCAAAGAAGACAGAATATTTTTTAAGTAGATAACTTAAAATATAAATAATACATGATATCAAAAATAAAATTAAAATAAAATCCCAAGATAAAAAGGAAACAACATATCCAACGATGTACACACAAAAAAAAAGAAAAAATAATAAAGATTAACTGCCAATACACAATCGACTTGAATTATTTACTCTAAAATACGATTAAATCGATTTAGTTTTAAAACTAAAGAATAAAGTAATAGTAAGATATCAGATTTTTTATAAAGTGCCCCTTCACGAGCTTCTTGGCGTTTAGAATTCCAATATCATGGTACACGGTGAAGTTTACAAGAGCTTTGGCTTATAGCAAAACGCGTTTCTTGCAAGAAAGAAAGTTCTTGCAATTATTTGTTCCGAGAGGGGGAGAAAAGATTGAACTACAAGCACGAAATAAAAGAGTGTAACGCTTATAAAAAGCAAAAGTTTACATGATTGCTTGTTGCTTATAATTAATCCATTAAAAGCAATCCAGATTGTCTGAGGGTTATTGATTTTAAGAAACAAGACAATCGAATCGATCTCATAAAGAAGAAATTGTAGCACGTATTTATAAGGATAGTAAGTTTAATTAGTTTATGTTTTTTTTTTATCATTTGTGAAAACTTTTCTTGGAAGAATTCTTGGTGAAAAAAACTTTCGAGAATAATTTAATACAAAAAATATGTCTTAAGTGATATAAAGATAATGAAAAAATCAATCAAAATTTTAAAGAAATATTGAAATATAAGAAATTTTTGGATAAAATTATTTAGAATCACTTAGAATAAATGAAACAGTAATTTAAAAAGACTGACAAAAATATTATCTTTGATAAAAAATTTTACTCCTGACAAATTTTAACTTATATAAAAAAGAAATAATTTTAAAACATCTACTGTTTCGAAATAATTCCCAACAGACTTCCCAACAGAATTCGATCAATATTGTTACACAATATACTTTATTATTAAGTTATCATTGATGTAACAAATTCAGGATTCCATTGAGACTATCCATTTATGTCATAAATTCTCATTCAGAATTATTTCCATTAACATTTCTCGTAAAAAAAAAGAAAATTGTATCTCTTAATGAAATGAATGAATTTATATTAATTAATTATAAATTTCACGAGAGAGAAAAAGAAAAGAAGAAAGAAAATCGATGTATCGAATTTTTATAATTATTCACGGATTTTAAAAACTATGGTATGCATGTTATTTTGGAAAAACAATACAAAGTAAATTATATTCATACTATTCATACGAAGATAAAAGAGAGAGCACAGAGCGTAAAAACAAAAATGGAAAAATATCGTTCGAAATAATCCGGCAACAAACAAAGTAATAAAATAACTGAGAGATATTGCGGCGAGTTTTATGAAAATCGTGCAATAATATAAATTCGTTGAAGATTCTCCTTCCTTTCTTTTCCACGATTTTATTTAATTGAAGCAATAGAAGAATTTTTATCTTCTTGCTCGTCCGTTTAATCATTATTAACATTTTCTTTGTTTAGATGCCAGAATTGTCTTTGTTCAAACGAAGTTTTTTTTTTCTTTTATGAAAGAATAAAATATCACGCTTGGTAACTTGCTGCATTATCTCCAAGACTCAGAGACAGTTTTTTAGACGCCATTTTTCTGGATTTCAATCTAACGAAACGAGTTATCGTGCTATTTTTTTAAGCACAAATTGTGCTCTTCGATGGACAAAAGAAAATCTTATAAAATGGGTACAGAAGAACGTATACGTTATCAACAAAAAGTATAAAAATATTAAGATTTTTTTTTTCTATTAAATTTCGATATTATGCGTGATAAATAATTTATGTGTACATTGTTTTCTTTTCTATAGTTTTTCAAAAGAATGTAACTTAATTGTAGTGTAATGATGACCAATGTTTAATATTACGATAGAAATTGATTTATGATTCAAATTTTCTAATTTAAATTTTAGCAATGATTTTGATAGGAAATTAATTTACTTAAATTATCTTATATATATATTTCAATTAAATGCAAATCAAAATCGAACCATCTAACTCGATTCAAATGAAAACTAT